TATCGTATCGTATGCATTTGTATGAATCAGGGGTCCCTAGTAATCTGATTGTGCGTGACCGAATTGCGAAACTACTGCATTTGTCTTTTTCAATGTTTTTTTCATCTCTTATTCTTCAATCCCTTTGGAAAGCTTTCATTTTTTATAAGAAAGGTGTTTTTTTAAGTCGCGAATGGGTTTTTTCTTCAGTTTGATCAGTCTGTATTTCAGAACCGGTTTCTTTGACGAATCATTATTGAGTGTTTCAAATAAAGAACAATTACAGCTGAATCGGGAAAAGTAATTATCTTTAGTTGAGAAAAAGCATTTGCGTTAATTTCTTCAAAACTTGTAAGATTACGTTGAAGACGGCTCATTTCAAAGGATGACGTAATATGGAATCAAAAAATCAAGCAGATCGAAGCGCGTGATCTATATTTAAAAATTTGATATTGGATGCGTTTATAGGCTGTATTTTTCACTTTCAGTACTCCTTTATATTCGACATATATGAAAAGCTCAATAACTTAAGTAACGCATTTCAATGAAAATTGATCATTGCTGTTTTTTTTNTTTTTTTTGGTACAATTGTTGGATTTTATGATTTCGTTTCCTAACTACTGGAAAGATGGTCACTGAAAAAAGTGATAGATCATTGATTTGTGGCACTTAAAAATGATGGAAACAGTACTATACTGTAGTGATCATAGTGATTGTTAGGTCAGCTAATATTGTCAATGTCAACATTTGAAAAGGCTTGTTCATTCAAGTTGTATATTGAAGACCATTACAATGCTGCAATTTTTCGCATTATCGCTTCGATTCGATTGCGTTCGAAGACAACAAATTTGATTGTTAATTTGGATGAATTCGAAAGGTAATTATAAACGGGTATTGCAGTAATCGGTGAAACTAATTGTGGTTTAATTTCAGCACGTGCAGTTGCTAACCGATTCAAGAACAATCGATGAATGCAGTATATTTGCGGTGTCATTCTCGATTAATAAAATATTGGTGTATTGTACAATATTTGTGATGTTACTCGTTTTATTGGTCTTTTTTAGTTCACTTCATCGGAAATGTTTTAAATTGAATGTTTATAAACCAAAATAAATACACTTGTTAATCATTCCATTTGAATTTATACCATACAATTTCGTTTGTTTGCTGTTCCACTTAAATCATCTTCGATCGCATACATTGTAAAATCATCAATCTTTTGTCATTACTATTATTATTGCATTTATTATTATTATTATTATTATTATTATTATTATTATTATGAGTATCATCTTGTGCGCTTCATATGAATGAGTGAATAAATATCTTTGGATTTCCGACAGTGCCACTGTAACATCAAACTACAATGCATGATGATATGGATGCCTTGCGAAAGGTGAACTTAATTTTAAAAACCTAGTGCTTGAGAGTGAACCAGATTCGATCACAATAATTTTATTTGGTGATCACTGTAACATCCACTCATACTAATGAAACTATTTTCCGTAGTCAGAAAATGATAAACGACTTATTCTTGAACTTGAACCGACAATCTACTGTAAATGTTGCGAATTTTGATTTGTTAATTGCTGCTTTTGCTTTGTAAATGAATGTGATGTTGGGTGCTAATGATGATGAAGATCAGTTTCTTAGATAATCATTTTGTGTGTGTATAATCATGAAATTTATGTGTTTGGATAAACCAGTTAATCTAGTAGACAATCGAGTGATTTGTTGAGGCAGGCGATTAATAGTTGGTGTATTGATGCTGAACAATATAGGTATATGGAATTGGAGCGTTTATAATGAGGTGTTAAGAGCATGAAATTGGTAGGCAGGGTTGCGAGGATGATGAATTGTATAGTGGTTTTATTGCAATAGGTTAGGTGTTTGTGATTGGCAGTGCTATCAAAAAACTGTCATTTATATCTTTTGTCAACATCGTACAAACCAAACCGACTTTACCTCCCTTGTCAATAACTTTTTCAATAATTTTTCGATTAGGCATCTAAAATTTATTTTCTTCTATGGTATGCTTCATTTAAACGTACTATTCCCATACCACTGCAATATTGTACCCTTACACTAACTTCTAATGCTAATACTACTAATACTGTTTACTTATTATGTTTGTGGATAATGGTGAACATATAACCAATCAAATTCACACTTGGTTTCGTTCATTCGGACTATTTTATTGACGTCGAACTAACGTCCTCTTACATTACAGTTTAAAGCAGCATCATCAGCTGATTGTCGAATTGACTCATTCGATTACCTAGTTACATATAACCACAAACGCACACCGTCCTATTAGTTGGGAATATCAACTTTATTTGATGGAATTGTTGCAGACCATTTTGTGCGTATTGTTTTCATAATAACTGTATTTTAATAATTACTTTGCTATCACTTACTGAACGATTACGGTTGTACGACGATTCAATGGAACGTAAGTGTCAACGAAATGAAAATGAATGTGTTCTTCGAATGCGTTGTCAGTGGATGATGCATTCAATATCAGTCATTACTTTGATTTATTTATCAATGATTCCTGCAAATGCACTGAGGTAAGGTGATACTCGTAACTTTATTCATCTTATTAAGCGATGATTTAGTCATTTTACAGTGTATCGACTGAAACCACTCAGCAATCAGCAATTCAGTTTTCTTCATCAACTCTACATTAACAATCATGACGTAGGTTTTGCATTGTCTATTTCTTTTAATCTTTTACACTCTGTTTATTACTCATTGATTGTATAATATCTGTATATTTGCGTTGTTCAGCTGGATTTTTGGAAGGAACCAATAAGAGTCGGCGAACAAGTGCACGTAATGGTGAGCGATGAGACTGAAAAGCGTTTTCTTGATTCAATAAGCCAGCAAAACATCAGCTATTCACTTATGATTGACGATGTTGAAAAGTCAGCTTTACATCTGAATATTTGCTATCCTCTGAACTGATGAAGTTTCATTCATTCATTCTCTTCCTTCCAAGAAAAATCGAAGCTTCCAAAGATTAGAATGAATGACCATTTCATCAACCATTGAACGGCTTAGATTTCTTTGCTCATAACAAATTGATCAGTGATGCGATCGAGTCAGCTGTCAAGAAAGGGAGACAAAAAATATGATGTCAGATCAAGTGTGAATATAAGAGAAAGATTTCAATTTTGAAGTTTTTCATTGATTTGAGATTGATACGATGACTTAAAGAAATGAACTTGTGTTAGAAATTGAGTATAAAACGTTCGGAATGCGTGTTATTAAATTTCAGAAAGATTCTGAACCAAAAGAAAGCATCAGAAAAGATAAGAATGCAGCAAAAGAACAACTGGTTACATGATGCACCACACGATCGTGTCACATTCAGCTTAGCTCATTATCATTCATTCGATGATATTATCAACTATCTGAACGCACTTGCTATCACATATCCAGATCGTGTACGTGTCATGCCAATTGGTATTACGCATGAGGGACGTCAGATACCGCTAATCCAAGTGCATAGTTGTTTTTGGCATCAATTTTCGATTTATTTATTGACTATTCGATGGCACATTCTCTAAAACGAGTATTGTTCATCAAATAAATGAAATGTGGTGATCGCAAAGTTAAGCATTAAAACCAATAATCTCTCACACGTCCCGATTAAATGAAAAGAGTACATCACTCAACAACAACAAACCTCATATTCGTTAATAATGCATTCTGTGGCTGAAAGTTGAACGCAATTCTATGGAAACAAAAAAAGATCAATCGCGCCGAAGTTTTTTCGATTACAAATCATATAATTAAGTCGATTGCTGGCGCTGAACCAGAATGAAACTTCATTTATTAAAAATTGTTGACGATGGTTCAGATCGGGAAACCATCTCGACGAATGAAACCTGGAATATGGATCGATGGAGGAATTCATGCTCGTGAATGGATTTCACCAGCTGTCGTACTCTATATGATCAATCAAGTCAGTTCTGTTCTTCGTTAAGCATTCTTGACTGCAAATGAGGATTCGTGGAGTCGCACTGATGCGTAAATGACATCTTTTCAAATTCCATACGAACGGATAATCTTGATTGGTGCATTCGAAATTATCGCTGTTACTACAAAGCCGAATGAGGCTAATTGTTGCAACTTAAGTGCCTTTTTTGCATTTTTTTTGGGGAATTTGAAAAACTTCAGACTTGTGTATTTCTTTAAACGACAGAAACATTTATCATCGATGATGAATGCAAAGTATACTAAAATACCAATACTGGTGTTGTTAACAATGTAGAGAAAATGAAAGTATTGGAAAGTAGTGGCAAACTGATGATCGTTGAAAAGACTGTTTGATTGATCGCTTCCTAGACTTATTCATTTATTATATTTCAATTGACGTTTTCGTATTCATTCCATTCTTCTGCATGTACAGAAGAAAATACAAGATAGAATAATACAAGTATCATTCAGACATGCAATACACATCATCCCAATTTTCGCAATAATTTTAGTTTATTCTCCCTCTCTCTTTTCACTGATTTCGTTCAGGAATTCATAATCAAAATGAATGTATTGTAAGGTCAATCAATTGCACTTACAAACATGCTCGCAAAGTATTTCTCATTTTCGTAAAGAAGTCAAAGACTGTCGAAAACGAATGAATTCCTAATGAATCGAAGCCGTTTCATTCAGTTTAATGGTCTTTCTAATGTCAAAGAAAGAAAATTATTTAACATGAACCTGTTAAGTGTCAACAAACGGATACAAACTGTACCATCCATATTATCAATGATGCGTACTAGCCAAATTAAGCGGTAATCCGATAAATTTATTTTTGCAGCTAGTATTAGTGCATTCGCTGTCGACGGTCTTTGAATTCATTCGTTGTCAACAGTCTTTGAATATTTTTATTGAATTTTAAAAATGAATTAAAAGGATGACATTCATTGAAGAAGTGCTTCGCATTATTCACATATACCAGTTTTTCATACGTTCGTTCACAAAATTGCAATCAAACGGAAGTCAATCGAATAAAACAAGAAGAGAAAAGAAAAATTCGATTAAAATGAATAAACAAACTAGTCATATTCATTAAAATTAGTACTTTTTAGCAATGATCGTATTGTGTGATAAGTTTTCAGTTTTACTATTGATGTCTAATTCATATTTTTAAATTATTTTAATCTCAAATATATTAAACCCATAATAATCGATGCTGTGAGTTATTTATTAGGAACGATCAGGTAAGTACTTTGAGTTGGGAACTGATAGTGTGAGATGCCGACCAGAAATTCAAAAACGCAACAATATGTGGTATTAGAAGCATATTTCTATTTTATCCAAACCACCTTCTGCATTGTTGTTTCGTCATTTACTATAGTATAATAATTTTTGTATTTACTGGTACACAAAGATATGTTTTAGTTAGTCGAAAAGTATGATAAAGATGCTGAAATGCGAAATTTGGTTGATAGCATCGATTGGTTTATAGCACCGTTGTTGAATCCAGATGGTTATGAATACAGCCGTAGTAGTACTCATCCAGATATTCGATTGTGGCGAAAGAATCGTTCACCCCAAGTGTGCATACAGACTCGACAAAGTAATTTGTTCTTATTGATTGCTTTCGAAATCAGTGCATTCCAAATATCGGATTAGATCGGTGGATGTATGCTGTGCTATTTATTTGAACTGTGCAACGATTGCAACATCTTATAAATAGTTTAGCGCATTTCATCCATTCTGAATCTATCATTACTTTTAGGGATTGCATTGAAGTAGAAAACGTCATCTTAAGCAGAGTTCTGCGGTGATTAATCTATGAAAAACCAAATTCTCCCACATTATTTGCTTAATACTAAGATTATTCTTAAAGTATCTTCTCAAAAGCAGCTTTACATTTTTTCTACCATCCATCTGCAGGCAAATTCTCCTTGGACAATGAACATAAGCATCTTCACTATATGTGGTAACACCGAAAAGAGTAACGCCATTATTCAGTAACATGTTTCTGAGGTGTTCGTTTTGGGGGTAGCTTCGAGAGACACGTTCTATTCAACATGTATAATAGTGCATTCAAAAGAAGAGACGATATTCTCGAATATCCTATCAGAAAGAGCAACTAATAATGATTGTGAAATCGACGTTTTGAAACACGTTTTCAAGATATCTTGCTATAATTGTGAATCATGAATTGAAATTTTATCATCTCATTGATGGGATGGATATATGATTCAAATTGATCGAAACAAGTTATTTGAAGATATTTATAATGTAATCAATATAATAATATGTCAAATATTAGTTTGAATTAACATGAATACATTTTATGAATATCACTCGCATAATAACGCTTTTGAATATGAACTTTCGTCAATCGTTTTGCAGTTTCATACAAATGTTCACATTAATGTGCAGATCGTTGACAGATGTTCCAGTATTTCACTTGAGTATTGAATATTCTTCAGTTGAATATTCTTCTTAATTGAGCACTGAATGCCGCATAGAGAAGTCTCGTAAACAAATCATGCGCCTGAACACACCAAAAAATAAACGTATATGTAAAGCAGGTGATTATGCGCCTCAACTCAATTCTGTTTTATTGTTAGTGAATATTTTCTTACTTGAAGATATGTTTTCCTTTGTGGAAACTCGTTGCTGTCAAGGAGTGGATTTGAATCGCAATTTTGATTGGGATTTTGGCGTTGAAGGATCTTCAACAGATCCTTGCTCTGAAATCTATCAGGTTTCGTTACTCACATTTTTTTGAAGGCTTTCGATATCTCTGAATCCCTAAAACGTTTTCAGTTTTTCCTCATGTTCAATTTCTTATAATTGATCCATGTGGAGTACAGTTAAAGTTTACTGCCAGCCATTGACACCTACCCGCAGCCTATTTGAAATTTACTGTCGACCATTAACCACTAAGTTTAACGCGATGACCAGAATAAGTACTTCATTTAACAACAATTTATCTCAACATTTCAGTTGCCATTGTTTTTTTAACTATTTTTCATCCTCTAGCAAACAGCCATCAAAAGGCGAATATCATGCTGCATAGCAGAAAAGAACATTCGATTACATTGTACGATTACCGCTTCAACCTAATAAGAAATTGCTTGATGTGATAAAGTTCAGGGTGCATATGCATTCAGTGAACCAGAAACACGTGCCGTACGTGATTTTCTCACCTCACATAATGCACAAATGCGAGCGTTTTTAACATTCCATAGTTATTCACAAATATTGATGTATCCATTTGGACATCAGGTCAGAACATATACTAGTGATGTGCGTGATCTTGTAAGTTGCTCGTTATTCTACGATTGTTTTTATTTGTGCCGTTATTATTATTATTATTATTATTATTATTATTATGAAGGTGTTCATATTCTTATCGCTGTCCTTGCTAGCCATAGAAATCTCATTAGCTTTTGACAATCACTTATGTTATATTTTTTAACAATTTACGCGGATTTTGATCACTTTGACATATTGCTTTATTTCAATGACCTCGTGCTTTATTTGAAGAGAAATACAGCTTTACACGCTGCTAATGCACTCAGATCCTTGTATGGCACCAAATACACAGTCGGCACAGGAGCAGACACACTTTGTGAGTAGTTTTCTTGGGTATTTTTGCTTTCATTCACCAGTAGTCTTCATGCTTTTCTGGTTCTTACGTTTGTTAGAAATGCACAGCGAAATATTTTTGACGATAATCATACGAGCAATTACTTACATAATTCCGTTTCATCTAAGAGGACATTTCGACGTGTTCATACAATATCCATATGACACCTAATATTGAGAATGATCAAGTTTTAGTGTTTGTATGCTTCTTCGTTTGTTTCTCAAGAAAATATTTTTGTTTGAGCAAAATCATCTCATTTATCATGAATTTTATTGTTCGCTTGTTATTCCATATGGATGGTTATGAATTTCCATTGTTCCACTGATAGAGTTTCATTCTTTGTACAGATCCAGCGTCAGGTGGCTCAGAGGATTGGGCGAAGGGTCGTATGCGAATTAAATATTCATATTTGTTCGAGCTGCGACCGGAAGATGAGGTATGGGATGGCTTTCTGCTGGCTGAAAATCAGGTAAATTACAATGGTAATCGTTTTTCGCGTATCTGAAAGAATGCTTAGTTTCACTGTGTCGTTTAATCACTATTAATTTTGTTTTCAGCATTTTTATACATTAACTAGGATGCTTTAGTTGTGTTCCTTCAGATTATACCAACATCAAGAGAAACATTCGAAGCTGTGAAGGTGATCGCTCATCACACACTGAGCACAACGAATCGGTCGAGCAAAAGACGTGCACCTAAATTGAAACAACAAAACAATGTAGAATGTTTATTTTAATTATAACGAAATTCCCATCAGAAGCAATGAGAATGCATTGATCACTATGGACGGATTGATAAAACAATAAATAATCGGTTATAGATATGTACTGATCATAATTCGAACTGTGCGTACTGGGCAAACAGTGGTGCTTGTGCAGAATGGCCGTTCATGAAAACTCAATGCGCTCGTTCATGTGGTCTTTGTCGTGCATTTCAAGGTTAATCGAATGTGCTGAACGAAGCTATTGTTTGTGTTCAGTGATAATCTCTTAAATTATTTGCAAGTTGATATAAATTTCATCGAAGAATTTTTATTTCTTTATTCGTTTGCACTTGTATAAGGACATTTTTAGTGAGATTCTCAATCACAGCTAATGAAATTGTATTTCTTCAAGAATGTAAGATGAACTGCAGAAAATTGAAGAAGATTCAGAATGAATGAAAAAATTGCGAAATGGACACTAATAGATGAATAAATTCTAGGTTGATTTGAAAGGGAAATATGATCAGAATTTGGATAAGTGGATGAATGTTAATATGATAAGGTGAACGTCTAAAATCACAAATAAGAGAAAACTGAAGACATTCGCATTGAAAAGGGGAGGGGGTAACAAGGGTAACAATGAGATATTGAATGTAGAAGTGTATTCAACGAATCGGAAAGAAGAAAAGGACAAAACAATGATGATATAATACAGGAATAAGAACAATCGTCATAATAATCAAATATCAAACATCACCAAGTGTGTTTCTATTTCGATTTGTGTTTGTTCCTTGGTTTCTGATTGTCAGCTCGTGAATATATGAGAATATGAGTGTATCGTTATTATTATCGCCATCGAATATCTTCGATTTGAAGAGAACAAATAATCTGTTCCTATTGATACTATTATCATCTTTAATATCATTTGTTAATACTTTTAATGTAAATCCTCATAATAATAGCTATGAAAAATATTCTGTTTTACGATTACAAACCAACAATGCTAAGCAATTCGAAACTGTTCGAGATCTTTTCAAATTATCAAGTCAACTACGGGTTTGTTCTTTTCACATTCTTACCACTTCTCCAATTTCTTTCTACGTTTTTTCTTAATCTAACTTCATTTTAGTCGTCGATTTCCCAATTTTTCTCGCTTAAATTGCTACACTCGCATAAAAGTACAATTTAACATTAGGGTCACTCGCAATTGATTTTAAATGATTCTTCTCTGATCGTTTTTTGATAGATAGTGTTGTAACAATAATTATATTTGAAATGTATTAACAGAGGAACTTGGGCGTGTGTCCTTGAAGCAGTCATTTTCGACCATATTGATCACAATTGCAATTCTGAATCTGAAGTAATAATACTGTAGACTTTTTTGATTGAATAGTGATAAACTCTTTCACTTTGAACCATTTTAATCAGATTTACATTCTACTGATTGTGCTCGGAGTAACTTTATGTTATGCTCACATCTTCGTGTGAACTGCATTCGATATAAAAGCGCGTCGAATGCTACAATGTTTGCGAAAAGTGTTTATTTTAAACAAGACACTTTTTTTTGCAAGCAACAAAAAATCAGTTATATAGTTTAGATGCAAAAGGAAAGTTCAGTTACGAAACAATTCATAACAAAGTGCACTAATAAAGTTCAGATGCAATGAACGATAGCAAGCAAAACAATTTCTGAATTGAAATTAATCAACTAAATTAACTGACAACAACTAATTTAGATAATAGCATTGAAGAATGGCAATGTTAGCAACAACGATAGTAATACACACCAATAATAATAATAATGTCTTAAACGAATTTAAATAATCAAAATATAATAATATGCTATAATGCACTAATAATAGCAATGTTAACAATAACAGATCAATTTTTGGAAAGCAACAAGAAATATTTCGGGTATAAGTGATATCATGGTTCCATCAAGTACTATTGACAAAGTGTTAAGCATACTCAAAAATGGAAATGTCAATGTAACAACCACAATTGACGATGTTGAAAAGTTTGTGCTTTTGTGCATTACTTTTTTCTATCAGTCTTAATAGCATTGCTGCATATTCTATTTGTTTGGTTTCATTCGATGCGCAATTGCGTCTCTTTATAGGCATATGTATTTCTGGTAGCATTCCTTTGTTTTACTTAGACAGCATCCTTGATTATTCTGTTGACGAATCTTTGTATATCATTACGATTGAATTTAGACTGATAACTGATCGTGAAAAGAGACGAGATATGGATACTATTTACGGAAGGCGATACAAAGACGATGAACAAAATAATGCGTTGAATTACGACTTTTATACATACGGTTCGTATCCACAAATGGTCACATGGATGCGTGCGTTAGCTAGACAAAATCCCAAAATCGTACAATTCATATCGATTGGTAAATCGCATGAAGGAAGATCGATTGATGGACTTGAAGTAATATATTGTTATCATAATTCATCAATTACATTTGAGGTAGTATGATCATCAAGGTATCAACCCAGATGATTGAATTCACTGATTCGGAAATGATTTCGATAAAAGTTCATTGCTCAATATCAAATTATAAATGAAACGATAATTCGGACATATATGCTGATAGTGTTCATTTGTCCTTAAAACACTGATGAAGATAGATCACAAAAAAGTAAGATGAATAACGGTGAAATTGAGTGACCCATTGGCATATAAATTTAAATGAAATGAAATTCACTGAATAGATAGTTCATTCCAACGTATACGTTTACATACATGATAGACACTCATCTAATTATTGCACTTATCGCTCTACATTCGTTGATTTTCGAAAACTGAGAAGTTTCATCTTTCGTTTGTGAAATTCGTAGGAAAAAAATTTGAGTGGGAATTTCACTGTATAAGACTGAAATTCGTAGATGTGGCACGCAACTTTGGATATTAATATGCCCATTTTAAACTATGTATATATATATATATATATATATATATATTT